GCAGGGTTAGGGGAACAGTTGGGCTTGGTGATCTTAAAGGGCTTTTCCAACCCAAACAATTCTGTGATTCTATGATATTTTGTGGCTTTTTAGTTCTAGTATGTTTTCCTGTAGCTTGGCAAGGAGTTTTTTAGGTGAAAGTCAGTATCCCAAAATAGTAGGAGTTTGTTAGCATGCTTTTGTACAATGAAAAGAGCATTTTTTTTCCGCATTGAGGCTGGCTTTAAGATACCTCATTTCACAAAGAGCAGCAGAGCTGCAGTACTCCAAGATGCTGTGCTGCAGCATGTCTTTGGACAGGTTACAAGCTCTACAAGCATCAAAACGAGTTCTGAGCTCGCATGTCAAAGCCGCAGCAAAGCCAGCAGCTGATGAGAACTGAAATTTAGGTTGCTGGTGTTTTTTCAGGCGTGCTGTGGAATCAGGGAAAATGCCAGGAGGACGGAAAAGACTTTGTTTGCAGAAAGCTTGTTGGCACCTGATGAATTCATAAAGCTGGTGCAGCGCTGTCTGTGATGAAAACGGGAGTATTTGCTTTGAGCATTAAGACACAGCAACTCTGATTTACTCTGCACAGCTGTCACAGAAAGTTTTCATCGGCAGCAAAGTCGTTTTAACAAAGCGGCAACAGCAGTTGCCAAAACAGAAGAGTGACAGGAAAACAACATATTTTGCATGTCTTAGTGTGATTTGGGTTCCAGAAATGCATAGCCAGTGTGACAACTCTTTTGTGGCCCACATTTAAAGACTTCTGTACTTTCTACTGGAGATGACTAGTGGAGGAGGATCTTTATTAATAACAAATTAAAGCTTTGATTGAAAAAGCAAACAGCACACCAGTACAGCATTAGACTGACTTGTGCTTTCATATCTGTTGGCCTTGAAAATGGTCATCGTCGATTCCGATACTACAAAAATATTGAGGGAATTATTTTTAACGGGTGCAAGGTAAATCTATCATGGTTGAATTCCTGTCTGAGAATCGTGAGGTGCACTTGAAGGCATAGTTATTGCTTCACAAGGGGCTTGAAGGTGGGGTGGCATTTTCAAAGGAAGTCTAAAAGCACAGCCTCCCCCCATCTCATCAGAAAAAGCACGCCCTACCTCGACAGGGAAATAGCACAAACCAGAGCTGCTCATTGGGTATTAAAAAAAAATACGTGTATGTATGTCTGTTGAAGATCGAGGGCCTGAACTACTGTTTGCCTTTTGCTGTTCCATTTTTCAAACACGCTCACAGAAGTGATTATTTTAGGACAAGTATGTAGCAGAGACAGAACTAAAATTCAGAATGATAATGATCTCTCTCTACTGCTAGCGTTTCCATGTCCCTCCTTTTAAATAATTGATGTGATTGATGTGATTACTACTGCTGAGATGAATGCAAAAAGCATTTTAGAGCGGCTTTTTCATCCATTTCGCGGTCTAAAGGTCTGAGTCATTGAGTCTGCGGAGTAGGGCAGTATGAGGGCTTGGAGAGCATGCCATAAAGGTTTGCCGTATTTATCGGGTGAAGTTCAACCGCTCCTCACAACACGTCCTGCATCCCTTGCGCTCACGCATAGCCTTTGCTTTCCTAGAGCAAGAAGTGTAGTTGCGGTTTTTTTGCTGTTAGTGAAAGATCTGGTTTTACTTAAAACAAGAAATGGACAAATTAATTGATTCATACCTTTTCTTTTCAAGGTTATGCTGTGGAGCCTGCAGAAAGCTCGTCCCCTGTGGACCACAGACCTGCAGGAGTGTGAAGCAGAGGAAGACAGTCCACAGGCAGCTGGCCAGTTCTTTAACCCACCGCTTGCACATTCCCTGTCCGTCGCATCGTGTGGCAACATCTTTGGCTGCGGAGCTCAAGATGGTAAAGTCAGAATATTCAGAGTGACCGGTGTCAAGTTTGAACGTGAGCTGGAGTTCCACGGTCACAGCCTGGGAGTATCGCAAGTCCTCTTTATGCCAGAAACATACTGGTTGTTGACTGGAGGAAATGATGGGAAAGTCTTGCTCTGGGACGTCAGCAGTGACATTGGGAAGCAGCAGAAAAGTCCACCAGAATCTCTCCAGAGAAGGAAGGCCCACGCACCTGCTTCCACCAGACGAGACAGAAAGCTCAACAAAGTGGCTTCAAACGAACATGCTAGAGTTTTACCAAAGCTAACCATTGAGCACGGAGAGAAGGTGAACTGGATCTCATGTGCAGAGATCAAAGGCTCAAGGAGAGTGTTAGTTGCTGATCAGAGCAGTTCAGTATCTGTGTATCCATTGCCGGAACCTTAGACGCCAAGATGTTTAGAGAAATTGGGGGAAAACCACTTCTTGGAGTGTTTGAAATGAGCCCGGTTACATCTGTGGACAGTGAACTGAACAGCAAAACCTGCTGTGGCCTTCGGAAGGGGAAGGGATTTGCTGCGTACTCACACGAGTACCCGTGATGTCACTGGCCTTGCCTTATGTTTTTCAGTGACTGTTGGTATTCACTGCAGCTGTTTCTTGCAGGGTTGGCAGTTTGCTTCTAGAATTTAAGTGAAATGGGTTTCAGTAGATTTAGGGATAATACTAACTCATGGCCAAGCTGACATAATTAAGGTTGGAGGAAGAGGTTCACGCTAACGGGGACGCCCACAATGCTAAATGAGGATGCTGAGCAGTCACTGGCTGAGCTCATAGAATTGTTTAGGCTGGAAAACCCCAACCGTTCTCCTAACCCTGCCATCCCACCACTAAACCCTGGCCCTAAGCACCTCCTCTGCACGGCTTTTAAATACCCGCAGGGGTGGGGGCTCAACCCCTTCCCTGGGCAGCCCCTTCCAGTGCTTGACTGCCCTTGCGGGGAAGGAATTTTTCCCAATGTCCAGCCTAAACCTCCCCTGGTGCAACTTGAGGCCGTTTCCTCTTGTCCTAGCTCCTTGCATTTTGAACTATTTCAGTGCTTTACTTAACTCTCCCCATTAAACTGCGTCACAGTCAGCATAAACTGGCCGTTAGTGGAAATATATTTTTCATTAGTTTGTCAGCAGCTGCATGTGAGACTAGAGGAGCATCAACTAACTAATGAGTAATCAAATTTCTTAAACAATCATTGTCAATTGGATTTTTTCACACTGCAGTAAGTGAAAGAGCAGGGGGAAATGTTTGCATCTGTTTGGTGGGTGAGCGGTCTTATGCGTTTAGTTGTTTATCCCATGGAAAAATAACTATTACACTTGTCTTAATAAATGCTTTCTCTCTCACTGCTCCCTTGTGCTTATCCTTACTCTAGTATTGCCAAACCCCATTGCAGGAAGAATACAAAGGGCCAAAGGCACTGCTCCTCCTTACCTAAATACTTCCACTGTCTTCCCAAAGCTTCAGAAACACAACCAGCAGAACTTGGCCGTTATGCCTTGCTGGAAGCACCTCTTAATTTGCACGTTGAAGGTGGGAAGAATGTGACTAAGTGGGAATGCTGCAGCTCTGGACACATTCAGTTCATGGAATGGGCAAATAATTACAAGAAAAAAAGCTTTTTTTCCTCAGGCTGTCCTTAACCTTTCACCAAACTGAATGCCTGGTACTGGCTGAAGATCTGCTTCACTGATGCGGGGTTTGTGCTGTCTTGTTTCACCAGCTGTGCTGTTACGAGACGCAGGTTACCTATCTGCCTTCTCTTTTTTCTTTTTGCTGGAACAATTTTCAGCTCTTTTTTTGCATACCCAGCTCTTGAAAGCCAGTCCGTCCTTTATGGAAAAGATTCCAACCATCTTGGTTTAGCTATCCTTCAAGCTCAAAGCAGCTCCCTGCAACCAAACACAACTCACTCTCATCCAAGTCGGATTTTACCATCATACCTTTTAAACAGGAAAAAAAAAAAAAAAAAAGGCAAAAAAGTAATCTGCTTGTGTAGTCTTTCACAGCAGGAGGCTTTGGCCCAGTGGGCACGATGGCAGAATGAAGCCAAAAGACAGCAAAGAAAGCAGAACAGTGTAGGCACCCTAAATTAATGTTGTGTATGAAGACAGACAGGATCAACGGGTCAGAGGAAGCCGTCCAGATGCATAGTTCTGTACGTGATATGTTCACCAGCATGTGCCCATGCATCTATGGCCTATATTTGGATATACAGTCTATAAAAAGCCTCGGTACAAACAACCTCCCGCGGGAGTCAGATCCCCTGTCCCTCTTGTTGCTGCCTGCTACAGGAGGGAGGATCAAGCCTGCTCCAGCGTTGATTTCTTCTCTTCGTGTTCTCCGGGAGGATGGCTAAAGCCAGCATCTCTCTGCGCTCCCTGAACGAGACGTTAAACAGGTCACTGAAGTGTTGTGCCGGTGCTGCGCTAAGGGACAGGGAAGGATGAGGGGCGTAGAGGGCTGGGGAGAGGGGACAAGACTATCCGTTAGCACAACATACCTGTGCTTCCTTGGAAATGTTCGTGGGTAACAGAGAGGATGTGAATATACGTTGTGTGTATGTGGGAAAGGAGAGGTTCATGAGCAGTCTTCTGTTTCTCCTTTACTTGTTGGGGAGGGAAGGGGGACAGAGGCACAAGCTGCGCTGTTTCGTGCACGCCGCTCTGGGCCAGCCTGCAAACTGCTAGTCCCGGCGGTTTGCTACAGGATTTGCGCAATTGCAAAGGCCTGTCGCTGCATGAAGCATTGCCGGGTGATTATGGGTAACGGAAAATTGGGGTTTGCACCCTGCTACTGTTGTAGATGGGAGATTTGGGATGAACTGAATTTGGGAAAATGCCTCAGAGTCTGGAGGGTTTGAAGATAGGAAGTACGTGGTTATCATCAACAACAACAACAAAAAAAACCTGAGAATGGACCTTTCTTGTAAGTTTAAAGAAAGAAAATCACTGTCACTGAGGAATTGAGAGATAGGTGACACTGATTTACCTTCCATTTTCAAAGCCTGTACTGGGAAGAGGAAAGCCTGACCGACAGATTCATTGGCTTCATGTAAAATAATCCAGCCTGAGCTGCCCCTGCTGGCACCGCTCCATGTGCTCAGCTGCAGTGCGGCAGCACAGTCGCTGGTAGAGGGTGTCTCTAACCAGACAACAATCATGGGGTCAAATGCAAGCCATGAGCACAGCTCTTCAGGAAGAAGAGCTGAAAAAGGGTGTGAAATCCTCCACAGTTAGAGACAGGCGAGACAGTGTTCCCTCTCAGTGGACTTTCACATGTGGCTTTTCATATACTACCTTTAAGGTACTGTGCAGACGGTATCAAGCACCAGCTGATAGACTTGTTAAGAGACTGCTCCTCCAGTCGAGATACTGGTGTTGTTCCCCAATGGCTTTTATGACTCCCAATTCACATGATGGTAACCACAAAAAACAATGCTGGAGAGTTGACCAGAGAGAGAAACAGAAACATGGGAACTGCTCCTGAAAGAAAAAGTGAAATGAAGTCTCGGGGAAAGTGAGTGAAGTAGCGTGTGCCTGACTGGTACCGTGAAGTGAGTGTATAGGAAGAGCTGTGGAGAAGTGTGAGGCTCTGCACTGGCCTGGAAAAAAAAAACCATGTGACGGCTCTCAAGTAATGAAAAAATGTCATTTTCTGTAAATGCCTGAGCAGCGGAAGTAAGGTTGGGCGTACAACCACGCTTTCAGAACGGCGGGAGGGCTAGATCTCTTATGGCAAATCTCCCGAGTACAGTTCTGTATGTTAACAAGAGAAGAACTTTAAAAGCTTTCTGGTAAAGAGCAGGGATGTGGTTTGGGCATACGCTAGACGGACATCAGAGGTCACCCGCTCAGTGGTAACTTCACTTACATTAAAGGAAAAAGTGTTGTGATTGAGATGAAAGCAGGAGGTTTAATCCATTCATCCGTGTTTCATTCACAACTTGGATCAAGAGACAGTGGCACCGATTCTATCAGAATTTACAAAAAGCTTATTAGCAAGATTAGTTATGGAGATTGGACGTACCATGGTGTAACTGAACAGATATTTTTAGAAGCAAAATTAGCAAATGATGAAATGTTTGCTACAGAGGCTTAAAAATACACAAGAGTAATTCACAGACAGGGAATATACCCCTTATCAAAAAAGTGCTGGAAGGTTAAACCTGGTCAAATTTCAAAGCCTAATGGCTGCTGAAAACCAGCGACAGCCCTGATAGTAGCATTGGTGAGGAGCTCTTTGATAACTTTTACTGTTATTTGTAGAGGAGAAAGCTTGCAAGAATGGGCCATTAGGAAGCTTATTTACCCTGATAAAAAGCTGCAGTCAGGGAGCAATTCACAGGCAAGCATTGCCCCCAGGACAGCACTCTTCATCCACCCAGCAAACCTCGAAGAATACATTCATTTTTCACCAGTTCCCCTCTCTCAGAGAGTGCTCACACCGTGTTATTCCCAAACCTTTTACTGTTGGGGTTTCTACGCTGCCACATTGCAGCATCCTATTACGTTGTTGTTCTCTGCTCACGCAGCTATAGGTGTGAAATGGAGCTGAAACTCATTCACAGCAAGTATCAACCCACTTCACCTCCACTTACACACTTGGTCTGTTGACAAGACTCGATCACATTACAACATATCAGCCCTTCCAAATCTTCTGAACTAGCCGCATTTCTATGTTGCACAAGCTCAATTTTCCAATTAAAGTTCTATTTTAGTCCTAAAATTCTCAGGGCAAGTGTGCACACATAAATAACATTTGAATGGGTGAAGCTCCCCCCAAAAGTTAGTCCAGGAATGATGCGCAACACAGTGGACGAAGATTAGTTGAAACCCAACACCCAGTCAACAACTATGCCCAGTTTCAAAATCTCACCTGTGAACCAGCAGGGGACAGGAGACTCTGAGAAATAAAAACCTTGCTGAAGCAAGGTAAGTCCTACTGAAGTGAGATCAGGATGCAAGCAGCCGTCCTAGGATGACACGGGAAGTCTCCTAAGCCTCAGGAAACAACAGAAAATCATTAGACAAGGATCTGCACAAGCTGCCAGCCAGATAATGAATTAAGGTAATGGAGACTTAGAAAAATGTTGATGCCTTTTTATTTCCTCCTCAACTGCAGACAGAGCCCAAAGCAGGAGCAGAGGAAGGCAGGTAGAGGGGGGAGCTGCTGTTAGCAAAGCAATGGCATTCTTGATCCTTCTCTTAAAACAGCAGGCTTTACAATACCATGGAAGAAGGGAAAACCATTGGTAAATTATTTAATGTGCTTTTTATACAGCCTAGAGTTACCCTCTGTTTGTTTGTTTGCTTGTTTGGGGGGGGGGGGGTTTTTTTTTTTTTTTTTTAGCTCAGCCAAAGACAAACAAAACAGGACCACAACAAACAAGACCAGGTTAGCTGGGGCTCTCAGCAACCTTATTTAGTTAGCGGTGTCCCTGCTCACTGCAGAGAGGTTGGACTGGGTGACCTCTAGGGGTCCCTTCCAACCCAGAACATTCTATGATTCTATGAAACAGGGTAAAGACCTTATACAGTGTTTAACACAGGAAGGCCACAACTCAGAATTCAATTCCCTAAACATTAGAACAATACAATTCGAATAGTCACAGCAGCAGTGGAGCAAATTGGGGATGAAGAAAGAGAGGCTATAGATAAAAACGTAGGGTCTTGCCCGTAATATAATTTAGTGGTGGCATGGTTTTCATTTAACCTGAGGTTCTGCCAGTAAAATGCAAAGAAAAATCACAAAAGTCTGTAAGGGGTAGCTGGTGTTTTGCTGGTGAATCGCTTGCCAAGCACATAGTACCAGGATATTTGTTCTGTATTCAGGAAGGAGCTTTGAATGATTCATATTTCAACGGCTTTGAGATCGTTGGGATTCTCAAGAACACACCTCAATGTAAATCAGTGAACTGAGGCAAATGTAAAGAAAACTGCTTTTATGAAAAGCAGCCCTGGGAGGACGGAAGCCCAGTGTACCCTGCTTCTCGAGTAAAGAGCAGCAAATGGGTACGAAGCATAAATACTTGCATTCCCTCCTACTTCATCCCTAAACACAGTGAGTGCTTTTAAAGTGGGCAGTTTTCTTAAGCAAAAGCGGAGTGGAGTAGCTCAAACTCAAAACCTCACCTTTAGGATTATAACTGAAGGGAGTACAAAGATGCACCTTTTCTTGGTTTTTGCTTTGTTTTTTTTTTTTAATAAGGAAAAATGCAACAGATACTGAGCAGTGAAAAAGCAGCTAATAGATACCAGCTCTGAAGTGGTTTTCTTATGGCTGTTTCACTACGGTCATCTTATCGCACAGTTGTTCTGCAGAAGGGGAATCCTACGAAAGGGAAAAAACAGCGCAGGATGAGCTGATGAGAGAAGGGCAACACTGCGGGTGGCTTGTTTATTATTTGCATAATTTTTAATCTGAGGAAGAATAAGAAGTTCTGCTCAAGGTCAAATGGAAACTGTTCCAAAGATGATGATACTACAAGTAAAAGCACAAATCACCTCAAAATGTTTAAGAGAAAAAAAAAATGTGCCACTAATGTTGTTGCAAATGGTTGAGACCCGCAGATGTATCTAAATGTTGCATCTGTATTTACAAGTTGTAAGACCTCTGCAGCAGGGAAGGGCCAAAAAGACCTGGGCCATATAAAAAACCTTCATTTCTTGCAGGGAGTGATTCTCATACAGCTTGGGAGGACCCTCAGAACGGGGTCTGGAGCTGTTCACAGTGCAACATAAGCGTCACCCACTGTCATGGAAGAGAGCACCACTGCTGATACCCAAGTCCTTACGGAATGCCCTTGTTTTCTATCCCTCAGAGTAGAAACCAAGCTGCAGACCTTGGAGGCTCAGTTCACAGACCTGGACTTGAGCTTGCAGAAACTGGCGCAGAAGTTTGAGCTGCAGGCCGAGATGCTGGAGAAGGAGATAAGCCAGGGCCCCCCATGGATGTGGGTGCCAGGGGAGAGGTGAGCGCACGGGAGGGACGGGAGGGTCCTCATCCTGCCCACCTGGGTTACACCGGTGTGACTGGAGGCGCACTCCCAACATGAGGCTGTGCAACCCATACCAATGTATTTACCTTTCCCATTGGGATTGCTATTTACCTCAGAAACGGGCAGCATGAGGAAAAAAAAAACGACAGTTCCTTTGACAAATTGTTTCTTTGAAAAACCAACCCAACCACACAGCCTATGAAATATTTATGGGGTTTAAAAACAGCCATGCCGCTTCCAAGAGAGCAGGGACATGAAGTCTGTTTGCATAACTGTCCCACAGTAGTGGAGGGTAAAAAATTAACGCTGTGATTAGTTTCTCCGATTAAATCAGGCCAGAAGATTCTCATTCGTAGCACGCAGGTTAGGCTTTGTTAATGCACGTATTGAGCCTTTCCACCTTCCAACCCAGGGTTTCTGGAGCAGCTCTGGCTTTCCGCACGCCCGGGGGAGCAGCCTCTAGCCAGGCTGCCTTTCGGCAAGATCCGTCGGTAACTATTTACGGCTGAAATACTCGATAGACAAGAAAACAGCAGCACCGCGGCGAGGCGGAGGCCCTTCCCCGGCCCCGCCGCGGTTGCCCGGGCTGGGTGAGGCGGAAGAGGGCCGCTAGCAAGGGGAGG